CAGCGTAGTAGGAGGAATAGCCCTGAAGGGCCATCGAGTCCAGCTGCCCCCAGGGCCCCCCCAGCAGGATGCGTGCCAGGCCTCCCCCTGCCCAGCTCCTCAGCAACAGGGGTCTGCAGGCAGGCCACCTCTGAGAAAGGCGGTCACACTGGCCAGCAAGGCTCGTGGCCGCAGAAAGACTCCTCCTCCGCCATGAATCTGTCCCATCCCCTTTTAACGCCATCCAGATTGGTGGCCACAACCACTTCGCGTGGCAGCAAATTCTATAGCTCCACTATACATCGTGTGAAGAAGTCCTTTCCTTTATCCACCCTAAAGTCCCACCCATCAGCTTCATGGGATGACCCTGGGTTCAAGTGTTATGGGACAGGGAGACAGATCTCTCCCTTTCCATTTTCTGCATGCCATGCAGGCTTTCTTGGAAGCGGAAGGGTGGGCTGCAGGGACTTGGGTCTGATCCAGGAAATTCCTTGGTTCTGATATCAGGAAGGACAATGTGGAAACAGCAGTAGAATTAGCTGGAGGGGTAGGAAGTTTTAAAGCCCAGCCTGGCTGTTTCTGAGAATGTGTTTGGTCAAAGACAGCCCAGAATGGGCCTCTCTCCACCTCATGCCTGGTTTGCTCATGTGTTTGGCCTTGCTCGAGTCCTACAGCCTTTCCCTGTTTGTTTTCTTCCATTTCCCAAACACTTTTTCTATAGTTCCCTGATGAAACCAAGACTCTTATCCTAGCAGTGTCAGCTCGGCTCTCAGAAATCTTTCAGTTTCTAGACAGGCAGTGAATACGAGAGAAGCTGTTTCTCAGAAGCTGTAGCTGAAGTTTATTTGACATACATGAAGAAAAAGAAAGCAGAAACCAAATACCTGGTGCAGCACAATTCATTACCCAGATTACAAGATCAAAGTTCGGCATCCTTGATCTTTCTTCAGCCTTGACTACACATGATGTGTAACTCCAACCAGTGACCCTTCTGTTTTCAGAACAATTCTGGAAAGCTGTTGGACTGAGTAAACTCTTACCAAAACATTACTCTTCTTTCCTCGGTTCCTTCCCAGGAGATGCTGCTACTTGCTACACAGTTTTAAAATCACCTCTTCCAAACTGGTTTGATTACATTCTTCTATAGTCTTGCCAGAAGACTGCCTGAAGGCAGTCTGTGATACCTTATATGGCTAAATTTGAAAAGCATAAAGCGACATGACATAGTTGAACAGAAAGAAGCCACTGAAGCATTGGCTGGAGAGAATTTTCTGCCGCTCTCGTGCCTGCAAGTGTGCTAAAGTTCTACAGGGAGTAAGAACAGAATTTCAGGCCTCCATTTTCTGTGTCAACATCAGGACAATGCATGCTCCTTCCATGGGATCTTGTAGGGCTTTGTGGTGCAACTCAAAGGCTTGTCCGAGCTGCCTGGTTTTGTCCCCTTAATAAGCCCTGGCTCAAAACTGGAAGTGGCTGCTCAGCGCACCTGGTTGGAACTTGTCGCCATCGCGCCCATCCAGCCCCAATTGCCAGGAGGTGTTGTGGGAAGGCGTTGCAGGTGCAAAACGGATGGGGGGGGGGAGAAAAGGTAGGGGTGTGTGCATGCACAAACTTGTACACACAGTTCACCAAAGTTTTCCTGCAAATCCCCACCTCTTGCTTTGCACTGCAGTAGCTAATACGAGAATGAACTTAATGCGCCTCATGTGCCTTTAGAAGCGGGTTCATATTAACCTCCATTCAGATAACAAGGCTCCGTATTCCGGCCTAAAATGTTGCCAGTATTCTGTTTCTCATTTCATGTCCCCAGTGGCACCATCCTCACACACAAGGAATGCATCAACCAGGCACCGACAGTTCCAAGATTTGGAGACATATAGAGAAAAAGCCATCGGGAGAAACAGCCTAATGAAACATGGAATGTTCCTATTTCCCCTCCTTCTCCTTTTTCAAATGTAAAAAAGAAAAGTGAGAGGTTTGAGTTTTATCTCACAGCCATGGGTAATTGCAAAGTGATTGCTAAAAGGATTGATATAGGAAACATTTCTATGCGGCGACAAGTTTGCCTCTGTGGGCAAAGACAGACCGTCAATTCCTGCTTATTTATTTATTCAGAACATGTCTACCCTGTCCTATATCCAAACAGGATCTCTAGCTGGCTTACAAAAGGAGTAAACAGCAGTAACAAGGACAGTAAAACCCACAGCAGCACTTGAATGGAACTGCAACCAACAATTTATGAAAGCATTCTAACAATTAACATTCTGGGCAAATGAAAAAGTTTTGGCCTGGTGCTGAGAAGAATAAGGAGTCGGCTCCAGGCGCAGCTTTCTGGGGAGCAGATTCCACAGTCAGGGCACCACCACTGAAAAGACCCTTCCCCTGGTTAGAGGGTCTTCTAACCTCTTTCGAAGAGGGCTCCCAGAGAAGGAAGGGCCTTGGCAGATGGTCTGTGGATCAGGCAGGAGTATATTCTTAACATTATTTCCCCCACAAATGTAAAATCAGGCCCAGCAGTTGCAACCCAAACCCTCACTGCTCAGTAACGCAGTCGATACCTAATCTGAACGTCACGCACTGGCTGCATGACCCCAAACCCAAAGCGGCGCGTGTCAATGGATGGGACCTCGTCCTCCGGGTTCACCAGCTCCATCTCAAAGTAGGAGAGGATTATGAAGGCAAAGAGTTTGATCTCATTTGTAGCAAAGTAGCGTCCGGGACACATGGAGATGCCTGCACCCCAAGGCATGGTGGGATATTTCACTTTTTTCCCATTCTTATAGAATTCTTTTCTGGTGCCATCGAGGCTGAGGAAGCGGTCGTGTTTGAAAACCTGGGGCTCCGGGTGGATTTCTGGATCCATGTGCAGGGACAAATATGGGAAAATCCCAATTTTGTCTCCTTTGCGCAGGACGTAGACGCGTCCGTCCTGCATCAGGAAATCCATGTCCTCCATCACCGCCCTGATCAGCAGCGGTGCGGCCGACATCCGCAACGTCTCCTCCACAGCACTGTCCAGGACCGAGCACTTGCTGAGCATCTCCTTGGTGACGCTGAGCACCGGGCCGCCTGGCTTCACCTCCTGGTCCGATTCCTTCACGACTCGATCCACCTCTCTTTTCACCTCCTGCATGGCCTGGGGGTTCTTCAGCAGGTGCATGAAAAGCCAGAAGGAAGCCGGGCCAGTGTTCCCCTGAGCTGCCCAGAGCAGCAGGAACATGAAGCGGTCCCGCATGTATTCGGGCATGCCTCCCTCTGCCAGTCCCTCCTGCTGGTCGTGCACCCACCCACTGATGTTTTCCTTCTGGTAGATGTGCTTCACGGACAGGAGGTTCCAGAAGAACTGCCACAGGGTTTTCACCTCTTGCTTCTCTGTGTAGGTCAGCATGGAGTACGCCAGCCGGGGAAATAACTGGTCGTATTTGCGGAATTCCACAAATACCTCTTCGGAGTGCGCCAAGTCATACTGCTTGGCAGTTTCTTTCTCTTTTCCAGACTGAATGGGCTCGTTTCCAAACAAGGCGAGATATCCCGCCCGGAAGACCATGTTGTAGCAAAAGTGGAAGAGCCCGTCATGTTCCCAGGGCTTCTGCTCTTCTGCGGAGCCCAGGCTGTGAAGCATCACCCTCTGCAGCCCCTTCATCATGGCTTGCGTCATCTCCTCCAGCCCGTTGCCCTTCAGGTGCTTTGTGCTGGCTGCCTGCATCAGCTTGTGCGTGTCCTCGTTAGGACGGAAGTGGAACACTTTCAGGATGAGCTCCTTAGCGAAGGAAATGAAGTCCAGTTTGGCTCTTGCTTCTTTCACCACAGCCCCGAACGAGAGGGGGTCCATCAGAAACGTGAAATACTGTCCTGCAATCAAGGTGGTGAAGATGTCCCCGTGCTTCTCCTGCATCTTCTGCAGGAAGTTGGCGTTATCCCTTCTGAAATGCAGCCCGTGTCCCAGCCATGGGATGTGGCCTTTATCCAAAGGTGGCTCCTTCGGTCTCCTCCTGCGGAAAGCCCCGAAGAGGTAAAGCGCCCCCACTGAGATTGCCAGGAGGGTGCCGAGGACGATTCCCCAGAAAGCCATCTCTCCGAGCGCTTGAGCAGAACTGTTACACTGCAGAGGCGGTGAAAAGAGAAGTTCTGGCAGATCGCTGCTTATTTAATCATAAATGAGGGTGGAGCCTCATGCACTGCAAGCCCAGAGGTCGGTTAACCAGCGCTGTGAGGTTTGATTGCTATTCAGAAACCCTCAGTGGACTGCACTTAAACACGGTGCTTTTAGGCCAGAAAAGTCGGAGGAAAGTTTTACAGGGACTGGGAGGCAAAAGCGTGTGTGTGCCTGCATGCAAGGCAAGACGCCCACTCGGCTTTTTGGCAGGAAGAAAAATAGGGCTGGGGCAGGGGAGGAAGTGAGCAGCTCCACCCCCAATCTCTGCAAGTCCTGAGCAGGGCTGCATACTGACAGCAGAACCACTGGGAGAAGGAGCCCATGGGAGCGTTGCCAGTTGCCGTGTGGCTTGGCCACTGCAGGCTTGCGGCCTGTGGGGCTTTCTGGGCATGCCCAGAGAAAATGCCTGGAATGGCAGCGTGTTACCGTGTCATTAGTTGGTGCTCAGGGAGTTGGGTGAGGACTTGCACTGTGCGCTGGCCCTGAGGCCAGCATGGAGCAGGGGTTAAATGTGGGACTGGGACTCAGGCGATCCGGGTACTAGCCCCTTCTCCGTGTTGGAGTTGCCCTCATCAATGATATAAGTTTTACACTTTAGAATATAGACAACAGTACGGTACACCGGCAGAATCCCTAATCTGTCTCGGTCACCCAACGCCAGGCACAAACACTCCGGACCTGGTCTGGAGGGAACAGGGAGCCCCACAAGAGAAAATGATTCTCGATAAATGAGGGAGACTCCCCCTCCCCTTCCCTCTAGGTGAGGCTGGTGCTGCACCAGATACCCAGGTGGGCACAACTGGGAAAGGGCGACAGCCCCCCACTTCTTCTGTCCAGGTCTCCATAATACATGCCAGGTCGGCCCCTCATGGAGTTGCGATGTTTTATTATGGACTGACACGGCATTCAACAGCAGCACCGTCAAGCCCAAGGGCCGGTCGATATCGCTGCCAGGAACCTTCCGGTTGCGGCTGTAACCAAAACAGGGGACAGGTATCAAACGTCGGTCCCTCCTCCTTCTATGGTGACATGTTAGACCCCCAATGCCATATCTTCCCCTGCCCGTTACCACCCCAGCAGCGGCGCCCATCCGCTCCCCAGGTGTGCCCGTAACAATTTAAAACCTTAACAGTAAAACTCTAAAATTCAGTCACTATACAGTTAAAAACCAACCTGCCCAACCCTCTAGCAACAATTAAAAAAAAAAACAACCAAACGGGAGCTGGCCTTGGTATGAAACTTGGTTTGCAAGGTGCCCCCCCCGCCCCGCCCTTGCTGGCAAATCGCTATCGAATGCAGAGCACACCGGCGGGGGGGGGGGGGTTGAATATGCAAATACTGGACCAGCTTGTCATCGTCTTCCTGCAATTTCCTGCCTCGGACTTTGAAACCTGTTAAATTGTCTAGCTCCCTATTATGTTATTTCTTATCTGTCACTCGAGACCTCCATGCGCCACGATGCTTTTCCAATGCTCCCCGGATGATTCCTTCGTGTTCCTGCATTTTTCTTTTGCGGTTCTCTTGTCCTTGCCTGTTGCTCATTCAAGGTCTCACTCCCCTCCCTCTCACGTGAACGGCAACAGCAAGTCCCTGGAACGCTCTGAAGTGCTGTTTGCTGTGCTCGATCGATCGCGCACTTCCACTGAACCCGAATATTCGTTCCCAGCAAGGCCGGCCATGGAGTCCACTGGCGACTAGGGCCAGTCACAGCCTCTTCAGCCAGCCTCCCTCACAGGGTCGTTGGCGTGGGGATAAGCTTGGGAGCAGGAGGAAGAGAGTGGGAGCTTTGTTCTTTAAGCAGAACGATGGGATTTAAATCTAATGAATCGGTAAATAAATGCAGCTGTGATTTGGAGCGTGGGGAGTTCATGTTGGCAGAAAGCTGGTCATCTAAGAAGATGAGGTGGGCGGTCCAACAGTCCCTTCCGTCTGGGCCTTCCTGCATCATGCAGCATGCATTGCAAGCAGGTCTGAAATCCTGACATGTATTGTGCTCAGTTTTGGGCCCCTCGTTACAAAAAGGATACAGCCAGGTCGGAGTCAGTGCAGCGCAGGGCCACAAGGATCGTGGCCGGTCTGCAGGGGATGATGGGGTGTGAGGCGAGACTGAGGGAACTGGGTCTCTTCAGCCTGGAGAAGAGGAGACTCCGAGGGGATCTGTTGGCGACATGCAGGTATGTGAGGGGGTGTCACACGGAGGTGGGGAGAGACCTGTCCTCCGCCGCAGAGGAAGGCAGGACGCGCTGCAACGGAGCAAAGCTCAGGGAACCCAGGTCCCGTTTGGGTGCCAGGAAGCACTTCCTGACAGTCAGGACCCCGAGGGGGTGGAATGAGCTTCCCCGGGAGGTGGTTGAGGCCCCATCGGTGCGGGTGTTCAAGGATAGGCTGGACATGCACATGGAGCCGAAGGTCAGACTAGATGGCCCGAGAGACCCCTTCTGACTCGCTCTGTTTCTATGTTTCTATATTTGAATGTAACTTTCCTGATGATATAGGTATTTTTGTATGAGTTTCTAAGCCATGAACTGCACTGCAAAATTCGGAGACATGTGCAATCCAATCTTACTCTACTATTGGTATATAGTAATATAAGGTATTGTATCCAATATACTACTAGTGGTATATAGTAATATAAGGTATTGTATCCAGTATACTACTATTGGTATATAGTAATATATTGGTAAATAATATAAGAATATTGGAGAAACTGATACTTGAGTGACCTGAACACAGAACAAGTGTTCACAAGGGTGTGCAATGGGCTTCCCCGGGAGGTCGCGGAGGCCCCATCGGTGCGGGTGTTCAAGGACAGGCTGGTCATGCACATGGTGGGCATGTCGTGAGCGGAGCCGGCTGGAGCCGGGGGTCAGACTAGATGGCCCGGGAGACCCCTTCTGACTCGCTCTGTTTCTATGTTTCTGTGAATGTGGCACGTGCCGTCAGACATCGCTTCCCTGCCCCCCAAGCACACCTCCCTCTTGCCTCCTCTCTGAGGCCAGTTTGCCACTTTGCAGAGGCAGCCGGCGTGACCCTTTCTGGGCTTGCAATGACGCGCAGAGCACGGACTCAGCCTCCAGAATCCCAGCCTCAAGGACGCTGGATGTTGCAGCTGGACTCGGAGTCATCCCACGGACCTCGCGATGCCAGGGGGCCATAAAATCCCTTTGTCCTCCGCTGTGCCGAAATCCAGCCTGATTCCTGGCATGCCATTCTCGACAGTTGTGCAAAATGGGCAAAGTCTATTCCTGGTCCCCTTTGCATCACGGCTGGTTAAACACTAACGCATACGCAAAGAAAACAGTTGCTCAGTCGAGTTCCAGATCCGCCACACAAGAGTAAATCTCTTGCGCTCGGGAGAGATTTGGGTTCTGGATCTCCAGCAGTGCAGCTGCAACGGTCAGCCCACTGACCAAAAAGAGAGAGAACTCATTCCAGTGCTTTTTTTGTAAAAAAAAAAAAAAAAGTGCCGGAACGCCCGTCGCCGCCAGCAGTAAGCACTCAGCGCGCGACCACGCGCTCCGATCCCAAGCGGAGGAGCAGTGCCCCCACTAGCTCGGCATCAGATGGCAGACAGCAGACTCAAAAGCAGCCAGACCTGCTACGCCCAACAGGGCGATTCACAATCACTTCATAAAATCCATTGGGGAAAAAGGTGCCGGAACGCCATTCTGGTGCGTCCTATGACCAAAAAAGCCCTGGCTCATTCTAATTCAGCGGGAATGCAACGTCTGACCCTCTAAGCTGCTTCCTGGGGTCAGAAATGCTGTGATTGTGCTGCCCGCCCGAGGCTGCAGGCCTGGCTGCAAATCTGAAGCCTCCCTCTTTTGCTCTTGTAGCCGACACAATCTTTTGCACGTGGGTTGCAGCTCCAAAGAGAGGAGCCGACTTTGTGGTTGGGTGTAGAGAGCAGCCCTCCTCTTGCACACGGCAGGCTGTTGAGTGGAACCATCGTCCGATTCTGGAGAGGAGGAGGAGGAGGAGGAGTGGAAGGGGGTGAGACTTTGAAGTCACTTCAACTGTGCCTAGAGAGGTTTCTTGGAAGAAGAGTTTTCCGGAGGGGAGGGGAGCAGGCGCCAGGCCCAGCCTTGACCCGGTGAGAAGGCATTGGAGAAATGAGAGGCTCGTTTGGAGGGCTTTGCACCCTCTCGCCCTCCAGCAGTGGGATCCCTCCTGAGCCAGGGGCCAGGAGCTGTCGCTAAGGGAGCGTCTGCAGGGAAGGTTCCCGTTTGGATTCAGCTCATTCCATGAGCAGAAATGCTATTTGCAGCTTGGGTAGAGCCAGGGCTTTTGTTGTCGTAGGACACACCAGAACAGTGTTCCGACACTTTTTTTGACGGATTTTTCCAAGGGATTGTGAATCGCCCTGTTGGGCGTAGCAGGTCTCTGGGAAAAATCATTAACATAGTGCCTGTGGGCTGCTTGTGTGTCGGTGCTGATTGTTGGTGCTGATTGTGAGGGCGCTGCTTGGCTTGGGATCGGTCGTGTGGTCGCGCGCTGAGTGCTCACTGCCGGCGGAGACCATTATGTTTGTGTGTATGTAGTGACTGGCTCCGTGCAAAAGGTAAATAGGTTCTTTATTTCAAAAAAAGTTGGTGAATTGAGCATCTTTTTTAGTGCAAAAGTGCGACCCCAAGACGTGAGTTCCGGCACCTTTTTTTTTTCTTTCACAAAAAACGTACTGGGTGGAGCTGTTCCAGTGCTCAAACTAGTTTGGTATCTGTGGAGGCTCAGTAAAGGAACTGCATTTCAAGGACTGAATTTTAGAGCTAGAAGGAAGGAGGGAAGAGAGCAGCCGGTGCTAGCGAGGCCTTCCGGGGTGCAGGGAGACACCCCAACTTGCGAGGCCTTCCAGCAGTGCTTCTCCTCCCTGCAAACAGAGGAAAGCATTCAGAGAGCCAAAAACGGTCCTCTATGTGTGTTGGAGGGTGAGAGAAATGTGGAGGCAAGCTCCTGTTCCGTGTTCCTTTTGCTGTCTGATGGATACCCATCATCCTCCGAGTCTGGAGGGTTATGGGCAGCCCCAGTGAATGGGTCTACTTGTGCAAGGAAGCAGTTAGATCATGGAGCCTAATAAGAGAAGCTGAGAACGCAGACGCCAAGCAGAATGCCTGACCTGTGATACAAAGAATGGTTTTGACCACAAGGAAATCCCCGTGTCCATCTTCAGCTCATAAGGCTGACTGGCCAACTCAGATGGCCCAACCTATTTCGCAAGCCTGCAAGTACGCCAGAGCTCTTTATCGAGCAGATGGTCAACAGCTTCGAGTAACAGCTGGATTTTGTAATTTAAGAAATTATGGGGTGAGGGGGCAATCCTGTTGCCACTAGGTAGAGTTTAGTCAGCCGTAATCCGAAATGCTCCGACTCTGGCCCAGGCCCTCCCCAGAGCTGGCATGCCCAGAACGGCATTGGCCGTAGTGCCAGTGTTGGAAATCCAGCCTCGGGACCGGCAGGTGTTGGGTGGCACGTTGGACTGGATCCCTTGGGACCTAGTTTTCCACAGAAAATACTTCCCTCTTATCTATGCCTGAAATAGCAGGTCAACTGTTGTCTGCTTATTTCTTCAACCTAGCAGTCCTCTTTTTTATTTTCACGGTATTTTAACTTACAATTGTTTTGCCTATTTTATTTTATATGGCACTGTGGTTACTGGTTTGTTTAATTGCTGTTGATTTAATTAAATTTATAAGTGTTTCAGTCAGATTATATTCATGATTTTATACTTTGTTTTATTCCCATTAATGTGAAGTTTTTATTGGTTTTTTCCTTGTGATTGTTGAAATCTATTTTGGCAGTGTATGCTACGTTAAATTTTTAGTGTATTGTGAATCATCCTGAGAGTCATTAACCAAATAGGAATGGTATAAAAATGCCTTAAAATACTGAAATCATTACAGCACCAGATAGAACCAAATTTGGATGTCTGTGTTCTCTCTCACATTCCAGGTAGATGCAGTTTCATGATCAGCCACCTTATCCATCTCCCAATATTCGCTTTATTTGTTACTTGCTTGAAATCTGAATCTTACACACTAATTTCTGACTCCTAAGTTAGCTAACTCCATGTATTACCCTAATGAGAGAATCAGCAAAACTGCAGCTTGCCAAAGAACTCTGCCTTCCATCACAAAGTTTGCTTTCCTCTGACTCAGTGTCAGACTGAAAGTCTTGTTTTCCTTTTGCATAAAAATCTCTGTGTATTTTCTTGCACAATTTCCAAACATTGGCACCAAGTATGCAGATCTTTGAAACGTATGTATTCTTTTCCTATTGGTTAAGGTTGGTTGCAGTTCTGTGCACCATTTTCAAAAGTATGAATTTTCATACACATTTTTGAAATGTTCACATGGTGTCGAACATATATTGCTTTGCACCACCGAAGACCTTGAAAGCTGGATTGCATCAAAGTCCAAACCTGTGTTTAGTCTGTAAACATAAATCCTGATCGATAGCAAAATGCAACCAATTCCTCATACCCCCATGCCAATGTTTAATTAGTGGAGGTGTGCACAGATGCCCAAATTCAACTCTGACCCCAAGCATTTCAAAAATTAGTCCACTTTTGCCTGAACCTGCCTGGAATCAGTCTGCATCAGCTCAGCATTCAATCTGAATTAAGGTTCAAAACCTGCAATTATAGTGCTTCCTACAGGAAATTCAAAAATGGTTATAACTTTTTTCCCCCGTTTTGGTCAAAATGGTTGATAGTTGCAATTGTGGGAACCATGGGAGTGACATTAGCCTTCCCCAGTGTCAGAAGAAAAGGTGCAAGCAGGTTGGAAATTTGAATGTTGTGTTTAGTAATTAGCCTGAGCCGTGAAGATTTTTT